CAAACTAGAACCACAGTGTGACAGGTGGAGAGCTCTTTAAATACCAGAGCTGTTTACAGATCGAGGAGATTAACAGACTTGTTGAAGACTTTTGGCATCTTGAGAAGAGAGTATAAAGGCAAAATGCAGGGAATGCATTTTTTTTGTTTAGTTTTCTTTTTTGTAAACGTTATGACGAGCTGTGAGGCGCACAGAATGAAGCTCTCTGCCTTTGCTTGCTTTGCTATTTTAAAAAATGAAATGATAAAAATGATCAAATGAAGTCAACCACGCTCAGTCTCTCTTCATACCCAAACTGTTTGCTGCTGAAAAGAGCGAACGCTGAGCCCAGAGCTGCTGCAGCCGCCGCGTTCGCTCTGCATCTCTGCTATCCAAACTCCACACCTGCAGGAGAGGAGCTTCATTTATTTGGTGCAGCGCTTTCCTTCTTCCCGGCTCCAGGATCAGACTTCTCGGCCCGGGCGGCGGGCGCGGCTGCTTTCTGCGCGCTGTCTTTGGGTGTGTTCTGTGTGGCTGTGGCGGCGGCGGGTTGAGCTGCGGCATTAGAGGATTTAGAGGCCTGCGTTGGTTTTGAGGTAGTGTTGGAAGGATGGCGCCGACGCCTTCCTTCATCCCCGGCCGAGGATGAGTGGCGTCTCCTCCTGCCTCCCTCCATTGGAGGCTGCAGACACAGAAGTCAGGATCATTAGATGAAGAGAGGTTATGTGTTCACATCAACAAAATGACTCTTAAAAAACAAATAAATTAGAGATTAATAATCGAGCTTCTGCAGCGCCGTAAAATGACCTCCTAACTGTCAAACGATCAAACTGCACAAAAGGCAAATCAGCCGAAGTTTCTGAAGATTTTTGGGGACTCATTCTAATTTTTAAGCTGATTACGGTATATTTGAGATATTTATCGATGTGTACGGCCACAATCTTCCTCGTCTCTCTTTCAAAGACCCAGCATGCATCTGTTTGGATATCTGACATGGACACTCACCACCACCCTGAAGTCCTCCAGGTTCTTGAATTTATTGAGGTGCTCCTGCAGCTTCGGGTCGATGGGCTGGTTCTTCATCCTAGAGTATTTCAAGAAGGCCCAGAACTTCTCCAGTCCGTACAGCTGACCTGCAGGAGAGAAGACAAAAACAAAACAGCGCAGCGCAGAGATTATTTCATTTCTATTTTCAACTCAAGCATGTAAACGTTCAAGCATCACTCTCCTGATCTGTGCAGATTTCAGACTAGTTTGATTATAGTTCTTTCTTTTTGATCAATAAAGGATTATCTTTCAGCAGTGAATATGGTGCTCTAGGTGTTTCACGACCTTTATTCCTACTTGTATCTAAGAATAGCTGAGGCCCTCAAGGACCCAATCAGACAGAAATAAATATGAATGTTCATTTTTTTTTATTGTAAGATCCAAACAGAATAGACTCTCATTCTCATCTAAAGACCCTTGTAGGAACCATCCAAAAAGTGTGTTGTCATGATTTTTAGTTTCTCTGTGCAAATCTTATTTTAACACCTCAGAGTAGAGATTGCCTTGCCCCCCCCCCAGGACCCCATGTTAATATTTCTGGCTGCCATGTTTTGTCTTATAATTAGACATACATGTGTTCCCTGGACAGAGAAGTTTAGCTGATTGAAATGTGCTGCAGGCAGTTTCCTATTTCTAAGATGTAATCATTTCCTTGATGCTGCAATATCTTCAGTGTTTGAAGATAAGAAAACGACTCACGGGAAGCCAACTACCCTAATAAACCACAAGAACATTTATTATCAGAGATGGTGGTGACTCATGAAGACAGTATCTGTTGTCGATTGTGGGCATACACTCATTATTCAGTGTTCTAACGTGAAGCATCTCGGTGATGGATCAGCCTCCCGAACACTGAACTCACTGAGCTGGAAATAAGAGGCTGAAGAGTTCACCGCGAGTCCTCTGTTCTGCTTCAGCGGGTCACTCGCGGTGATGAAATAAGAAGAGAAAATCGACTTTAATCCTTTTTCTTTTCCCCCCTTTTCACACAACAACACATTCAGCTAAACGACGGGCGAGCCGCAGCGACGTGAACTTTTAAACCGGGTCAAGCAGGTTTACAAGGCGCCCGTTGGTGACCCGGATCGTTTAGCATTAGTGAGCTGTGAATGTTCAATAAATAAATGTATTGTAACGCGCATGAAGGTAAAATATGGAGAATGTTTACACTAAAATATCTAAATTAATTAAATTACTAAACCTATACTTCCATCACCTCAAACATTTCCAACAGTTATCAAAAACAGAGAAATCTGTAATTTTGTTGTTGTGACACCCCATGTCTTTTGTGGTGGCTGCCATGACAGACACATGTTTTTTCGTTGCCGTGGAAACACCGGATGTTACGTCAAAGTCCGGTGCATAAGGAAACGTGAGCTGCTACTGAAAGCTGTCGTGTAAATTATACTCGGCTACATTAGCTCGTCTGTAAACATATTCTCTTCCTCAGGACGGTTTTGTACGTTTGTCTCGACCAGGTCAACACAGTTTGTTTTCATTGGGGTCGGGGGGGGAGTAGCAGAGAGAATCACTCCCATGATTCCCCGCCAGCCTCAACGTCAGCATTTCTTTTTTAAAGATTTATTTTTGGGCCTTCATTTTAGAGACAGGACAGTGGATAGAGTCAGACATTGGAGAGAGAGAGAGAGAGAGAGAGAGAGAGAGGGGCATGATGTGCAGGAAAGGAGCCACAGGTCGGATTCGGACAAAGGACTAAAGCCTCAGTACATTCACTAACCACTAGGCCAAACATCACAGACAGTGGGACTCGGGTGTTACACCCACTGTAGACAGTCATGACTCACAGAGTTATTTTCAGAGGATAAACTTGATTTATATTATATTTAAGTGTGAAAAATCACATATAAAGCCTTTAAAGCTTCAGATTTTAAAGTTGGGAACCTCTGAGTCTCTGCTCAATAGAAGAAAAAGCTGATTTTTAAATATTTGCTTTGCTTCCTGTGACCTTTTGGACCTTCATAGAGATCAATAGAGAGCGTCATTCTGTTACTGTGACGTTTTGTATCATATTAGACTGTGGATTAAAGTTCTCTCTTGCATGTGTGCTTCTTTAAATTCCACTAATTAGCCCCGTCTGTCACTGCTAGCTCCATGTCCATGTGTTTATTTGAAGCTCAGTTTGACCTGCTTTTTGTTTACATGCTTTGTCCAGCTGTGTGATTTTTTCCCACATTCTTGCCAAACCAGTGAAAGTGGTTGTGAAGTTTGGGGACAGCTGATGTTAATTACCTTTCTCAAAGTCTCTGAGGGTCTCTTCTTGAAAGTCCTTGAACAGATCTAACCGGAATCTCTTCTCCAAACCGTAGCTGTAGTATCTGAAGAGGCACTCCAGACCGTACCTGCGGGAGAGAGACAAATATTTACCTGCACTCTGATCTCAGACACGACTAAACAAGTGACACTCAAATCTGGCCTCTAGACACATTTTGTTTACACAGAGGGCATGTTTCAAGATGTCATTGATTCAGTGTGAGCTGGTCTTTAGCGTAGCAGACATTTTCCCACATGTGCACTTCACAATAAAAGCTTTGTCTCTTGATTTATTGATGGCTTTCTTAAAGCTGGCGGAGGAACCTGACGGACGAGCCTCAGAATAGGTCAGCTGCTGCATAAAGCAGCTGATGGGTTTGTTAGATTGTCTGCTCACACACCCTGAAACCACGCTCACTCCCGCTTTAACAAGCGACTTGTGTGACAGGAATGTGAGTTTGGCGGGTGTGTGAAGTGGCTCCTGGCAGATAGGCAGCCTCCCCTGTTAACCCTCTGCTGTTGAATAATGGCGGTGTAACACTTCTGCTGCCTGCAGGCAACAACGCAGGGATCAGGAACCCATCAGAAGGTCACAATTAAAAGGAGGAATGCGTGTTAGCTTTCAGGAATTAAAGTCTTACTGCTCATATGTGGAAAGTTTATATATCAATACTTGGTAAATGGTTTTCCAATCTTCTGACTACTCAAAGCGCCTTTAAGGCCCTGACACACCAGGCAGACGGTCTTGGCCAAAAAGTTGCACTTGAACACACCGCAAAGACTACAGCCGACGGCCAACCACCACGTTCGTTCTGTGCATGCGTTAGGAAATAACTCTTCATGCCAGCAGGCGGTGGTAGTCCTTTGTTATGATACGAGAAGACCATTTTCACACAGCTGTCGGTCACCACTTGTATTATAGGTCGTCTACTAATAGAGAAAAATGTCTGATAAAAAGTTGAAAATGGCGCTGGCGTTGTCAGTTCTTGGTCTTTTAGTGGAAAAAGAAAAGAAGAGGCGGAGGAGACAAATAAGGAGAAACCGCACTAATGGGTGAAAGCATGGAGTCTACAGCGAGGGGCTTTAATGAACCTGTGAGGAGAGCTGGAGAGAAATGAAACCTCCGACCGCTCACCGACAGTAAAACTAAAATGATCTCCTTGGTGTTTCAGGGCCTTCACACCGCAGGTCACACCTACACATTCACACCCTGATGGTACAGATTGCTTTGTAGTGTCCATCAGTGTCAACCAATCCCGTTCATACATATTCACAAGCTGCAGATGAAGCAGCAGGAGCAACTCGGGGTCAAGTGTGTTGCCCGAGGACACATCAGATATGTAGCTGCAGGAGCTGGGGGTCAAACCCTGATCATCTGATTGAGAGAAGATTGACTCTACCACTGAGCCACAGCTGCCCTGCTTGAAAAACAAATCCCAACTACCCCAGTATACTCCATTTTTGACAACAAAAAGCTTAGAAGCATACTTCCAAACGAGGCGCTTGTGGCCTAGTGGGTAGTGTGCGCGCCCAATGAAGGGAACAGGAGACAAATCAAAGATGGCGGTCAAAGGGCACAGGGTCAGAGGGATGTGAAAAACTAGGGAAAGGGCGTCAAAAACCGACGTCCAAAAGGAATCGATCTCCTTGGGGGAGGGAACACCTGATACAGGAATCGTCTATATCAGTGATTTACTTTTTCAGCCTGATCTCCAGACTCTGGGATAGTGAGCCCTCTAAACCACTTTACACTGAAGAAGGCTCGTACAAGAGAAAGCACAAGTGGAGTTGATCCTGATTAGTGCGTCCTTCCACCAGCCTTTGCCCCAGCGTGTCCTTAACCAGACAAGCATTATAAAACAAGAGCAACAGCAGAGAGGGAAAAAGTAATCAGAACAAATGTTACGTCAGGTATGACGGGATCCACCCAAAAGGCCTAAAGATAAAGTCAATGTCCTCAGTTTGCTTTGTTTTATATTTCCGTCCTGAGCCTCACCTGTTGTTTTCTTTGGCATCTTCCAGCGCACTCTGTTTGAACTCCTCGTACATCTTTCTGTTGAAGTTGTCCCTCAGGAAGAAGGACCAGAATCGGAACAGGGTGTTCATCTCCTGAGACTGGCCGACCCCCAACCGTTTCCTCTCTGTGAACATGAGAAAACAGATTCAGTCCCGGGCAGAAGAAAGAACTATCTACATGTGAAGCCTCGACCTCAATCTCAGGTCAACAAAATGACATCAGCTTGTTTTTTTTTTTTCATGCTTCAAGGAGAAGTTGAGATCATGCGTACCGTTCAGGCACCGTCGGCGGTACTTGTGGTATCCCTGCTGAGTGAAGCCGTTGTCTCTCAGCAGCTCGTGGGAGGGATGCCAGAATTTGGGCAGAGACTGGGGGGTGCAGCCGTAACTTCCTGTCAGCGGGGCTCCTTCTGATGGGGAGGCGTTGGAGCTGCTGCAGGAGGAAGGAGGAGGATGTTTTTTTACAAAGGTTTTATGCAAATAAAGTTACTTTCAATTTGATTATCTTGGACATTTTGTCAAGGGAACAACTTTTTTTATCGATGGTTCACACTAAACAGTTTGTGATAAGGGTTAGGGTGTGTTTGCGCCCGTTTTCAACATGAAGACGCCCTCGGCATCAGCTGTTTTTTTTTTTTGTCACTGCACTGTCAGCGCTCTCTTGAAACACTGCCACGCTCGTCAATGTCGATTCCCCTTACTGACCAATAGAAATCAAGAGGGGGCGGGACATCCTTTTTTTTTTTTCTTGTTTTAAGAATTTGGATTGTTTCATATTTTTAACTCCTTTTTTTGGGTCTTTTCATCTTTATTGGATAGGACAACTGAAGAGAGACAGGAAATGTTATGAGGAGAAACATGCAGCAAAGGGCGGAGGTCGGACTCGAACCCACTGCTGCTGCGACGAGGACTATAGCCTCTGTACATGGGGCGTGCGACATAACCACTAGCCTATCCCGCACCGGGCTTTCAGGGAACAATTTCCAGGTCTAAAGCTGCTGCTAATGCCAGGACAGGATTCCTCTACATTGATTTCACATTTTCTTTGATCAGATTTTCAAATTTAAAATCACACAGAGCTTTAAAAACTGAAGCAGCTTTGTAACCTAGCAACAACAAGCGCAGGTGAGAAGCACTCTGAAACGGAGGTCATGTGTGCTGCCAGCGCTTTATTGGACACAGGCCCTAAAAAGCTGTCCACCTAACTGTACAGGTGTGAAAGAACTCAATCAGAAGATTTGTATTTAACACCACTTGGCCATTAATAAACTTCAGTCAGTCGATCTTTTTAAAAAGTGAGTTCAGAAAGAGAAGTGGATACAGGTCAACTCGACCGACCACAACCAAGGAAGAATGGACGGAGAACAGAGGGAAAAATGGAAATAATCATTTTATGTTCTTCTACTGCTTTCCCTGTTTAAAAAATGAAAACATGCAGCCTCTGTTTCTGTTTTTAGTCTTTACTAAAAGCGAGCGGTCAGACCTGATGGAGGCAGAGCGCGGCCGGTGTTCGCGGGAGTCCATCACCCAGCCGATGTGGGCTTCCTGAGGAGGGTTTGAACTATGGCTGGTTTTCTTCTTCCTCGGCGTCTGGAAAGACAAAAAACAAAAACAACACACCACCAGATTAATTCATGAACAGGACATCTATCACCATTTAGCTCAAAAAACTTCATCAATGGGATTTAAGTCCAGTTCAGTTTGCTTTGAAACTCTTGAAACCTTTATGTTTTATTTATTTTTACTGTCTCCTTTAATCAATCATCGTCAAAGTTGTTTCTATTTTACTCTCCATGTCTTCTTGTTTTATTGCTACATTTTTTGGTTTTATTTTCAGGGATTTGTCGGGACTTTCTCTTTTATTGTTGGGATTTCTATGTTCCATAATACACTTTTTTTTCTTCTTTTTTTTCCAGAGAAGCATTTGCATATGTTGTTCGAAGCTTTTTGCAACAATGCAACCGAGTAAACACACGAATGCAAAACAGGTAAGAGGAGGCAGCGTTTACCTGCAGCTCAAGCTTAAGCACCTGTGGTAAAAACGTAACAGTTCTAGTACAGCCCGAATTTCCCCTCTGGGGATCAATAAAGTACTATCCTATCCTATCCTAGTTGCAAAAAGCAAATTACGCTAACAAAACTCTCCAGACCTGCACAAACAAAACGTGATTGATTTAAATGTCTCAAGTTTCACCAGGTCTGAAGGAAAGGTTAGTGTGTATTTAAAGAGCACCGTTCATATTTAAAGCAATTTAAAGTGAGGGAATAAACCAGGAATCACTTCATTTCTAAACAGCAAACTGTGAGCTGTAAAATTAGTTTCATTAAGACCATCATCTCTGAGCAGATTTTACAGAACATAATGAACTTTAAGTGAAACAATAAGTGCTTATTTCTAAAGAGAATAAATATGAAAAAGAAATAAACAGGAAGAGAAAGAAAAGGGAAATCGAACCAGGCTGAGTCACACATCTGTGCCGGCTGACCTTTGTGACCTTTGAAAAAATCAGAAATGCCAACTTCTGACCTTTCTTCAGCAGATTTGAAAAATTTAACCAAGTTGTTTTTTTTCCATTCTGTCTTTAACTTTAAAACTTAATAAATAATGAACTACTGGAATGCATAAAGAAAATAACATCAGGTATTTATGTTAAGAGATGGACAGTGGATCGAGTCGGAAATCAGGGAGAGAAAGTGGAAGAGTGACGCCAGCTTCCAGGACAACAGCATCTGTACATGGGGGTGCACATTCTAACCACTTGTCCACCTTCCTCCCCATCATGAAATGTAATTAGACTTGATTTGACTAGATCACAGCCACCCCAAAGACCCTGTTATTTATCCCACAAGTCGTCATATCTATATCAATAGCTCCTCTGCTGGTCAAGACCATAACATCTAAAGAGGACCACTGCAATGTTAAAATCTGAACCCTGCTCGGGTTGTTCGAATAGTATCTCTACACCCGGTACTCACCTGCCCATCGAGGTTTCCGCTCTCCTTCATGACAGGGTAGAAGCGTGGCGTCTTGTTCGGGTCCTGGCGTCCGGGGGTGCGAGGCGTTTTGGGTGTTCTGGGCTGGTGAGAGCTGGGTGACTCTGGGACCGTCGTAGGCAGAGAGCGTGCCAATTCTGCACCGCTGTCCACTGAGGCCAAACCTTTATTAAAACACAGGGGGGAAAAAACATCATTAGCATTAAAGGAGTAATATGTAGCTCTGACACCTAGTGTTTAAAAAGGGTACTGCAGTCTAAATTCAAAGCATTGCGGTCTCACCTGACATGGGAATCGGAGGGGCTTCCTGGTTCGGCTCGACAGGCACTTTGGGGGTGAGAGTTTCAAACTCATCTTTACTGATCACGTTCAGCTTCTTGAAGTTCTCCACGTCCTGCTGAGAAACACAGAAACACGTTCACAGTTTAGAATCAGCAGCAGAACAATATGAATAATATGATCTCAGGTAAATGAACTTATATGTGATTATAACATATAACATGATATGTGTTTAACAGTTACATATTTAAATCTTTATCTGTATATATTTTTCTTCTTTTTCGTCTTGAAAGGTTCATTTGCGTTTATTTTATTTATTTATTTTAATTAATTTTTTTATTTATTATAAAAAATTATTATTATTATCATTATTTTCTGCTATGTTTTGGATGTATTCTGTATTAAATAGTGCTATCAATCCCTGTACAGTTACTACATTACATACAGACTTTGTATTGGCAGCATGAGGGTGGGGGGTGGGGGAAAAAAAAAGAAGAAGAATAGGAAATGCTTGTTGTCAAATTTTTTTTGTTTCTTAAATTAAAAAAATAAATGAAATAAATCAGCTGCAGGGAGAAAGATTCAGCTGGGTTAAGCGGTCCAATCATCTGGAACTGTTTTTCCGCCTCACTTCTCAGTCGCTCTTTTTTTTTTTTTAAAGAGACGTTAATCAAGTGCAGCAGTATTTACATGCAGTTTGTTACAGTGTTTAAAAAACGACTGACTGTAAATCGCCTTCTCTTCCTGCTCTTAGACTTTATTTGAATACCTGCTTTTGTTTGTGTCAAGACTTCGCAGATGTTTTATTTTAATGTTAGGTGGGTTCTTTCTGCATGTCTTAACTGCATCCGTTAAATATTTCCTTCTTTGCTCTGTGAATTTCACTTTCCCCTTGCAAACATTCACAACATCCAGTGCTTTTATTTTGAAGGTAGACAAAGGGTGCAAAGTGTGATGCTTTGTTTTGACGAGCTGTCGACTCGAATCACAACACTCAGAGGCTCGTTAACAAGCGGCAGGATAACATTTTTCTCTGTGTCGACACAAGTCAAAGCTCAACATTTTAATCATGTTAGTGGATATTATTAATGCCCCACCATCTCCACTTTGTAAAGCTAACGATCTCTTTTTAGGGAGAAAAGCGAGTGCAACCGCCTTGTAAAGCCGCCTCTTTCCTCCGTCCTCGTCCATGTCTACGCAAGATGTTGCATCAAGGTAAAAACGATGCGACGTGTTGCTCGCAGGCTATTCGGAAACTCAAATAGTTAACAGTAAAATCAAGGTGATTTTGTCGCTGACGATCGCTCGCAAATGATGAAACTCCAAGACAATCAATATTTCAGTTTAATTTATAACTTCAAATCGGCTTTCTCTACGATTCTGTGAAGAAGACTTCAGCAGTAAGATAAAATAATACATCTTAAAGTGTTCCTAGGCTGAGTTTACGTCTGAGACTTTTTAACGCCGCGGCCTCTCGGGCTGTCTAAACTGATAACACAGAGGTGACATGGTGTAAATAAAACTCGACGTGCCAGCGGCTGCAGCCACGGCGGCCTGTGTGACACACAGCAGATGTGCAGCGTACTTTGAACTTGAACACGTCAGCGTCAGAAAGAAATCCAGGTGACCTTGGTGTGTGCATGTGTGGTTATGTGTGTGTGTGTGTTCAGGCGTGACATTTCCCACATGTGGAGATGTTATTGACAACCTTTGAACCAAGAACACGCTGACCGAGCTGAAAACACACGTCGGCAAAGACAGGAGCGGAGCGAGCCTTCAAACACCTTGAACCAAAACTTTGACACAATTCATAATTTAGCAGTCTGACTGATATTTACTCCTGTTGTGATAACAGTTTTTAAACACTTTATTTGTATTCTTTAAGACATTCTGTCCTCATTTCTTATCAGAGGGATAAGTCGTACTTTTAAAGGATTTTGATTCATATTTAGTTGAAATTGTAACGATGCTGTTGTGCGTACCTTTTCTTTGAAGGTTTATTTTAGATATAGGACTGTGGATGAGTCAGAACTCGGGGAGAGAGAGAGAGAGAGAGAGAGAGAGAGAGAGGGGAACGCCCCCTCCACCTTCTGTTTGTGTAGGGGAGGAATCAACCCACTGTACTTTATGCCCTGTTGTTGTTGTTGTTGTTGTTGTTGTTGTTGTTGTTGTTGTTGATTGCTTTTTCTCTTCTTCTCTTCCCTACCTGAGTCTAATTTTGCCAGATTGTTCAAATTACTGTTTTGTTTTTGTCTTTTTAACATGTAAGTGGGGGGATTTTTGTGCCTTTATTAGGAGAGATAGGAAAGGGGGTAGAGTTGGAAATCAGGGAGAGAGAGTGGGGAACGACATGCAGGAAAGGAGCCACAGGTCGGATTGGAACCCGGGCCACATTAACCACAGAGCCACCAGAGCCGACCTGCTTGTGAGAGCTTAATCCTCCATTCATGAGACGCACACACTCACCCACTAGGCTACCAGCGCCCCTGCACCTCACTTTTTAGAGGAAAAATCTGATTTTTAAAGAACGTCTTGTACAGCTTATTTTACTGTAATACTTTCATGCTGATATTCTTTGTTTGTGTGTTTTTTATGGTGCCATAAATATAAAGCCACACGTTCAAATCAAACTTTATCTAAGGGTTAGAGTATTTTTATTTTTTTATTATCAGCTATGAGTTTTGGACGTCTGTGATGCGCCAGTGTTGATGTGTCAGAGTGTGACGCTTGTTGGTCAGAGTGTTGTAGGTCAAAGGTCACACACGTCTGACCTGTCTCCAGACGCCTCATCGTGCTGCTTTAACTTTGATAGAGGTCTTGTTTTTGAGGAGAAGAGCTTTTAAGTTAAGCGTTATTTTGTTGTCGGGGCCGAGTGTTAGTGTTCATCATTTTATCCAGTTTGTGGTGAGAAACTAATGTAGGGTAACAGCCCTTTACTGACATTAAACACAACGCTGTAACCGGTCCGAAGCCATAGAGTTTAATGCGTTCTTCTGTAATTCGATGACATAATGCGGTGTAACCTGTCGTCAGTACTTCTAATGTTCACACTTGTTTCTGCAGACGAGGCAGCTTTCCCAAAAAGCAGGTCACACTCGTCTCTGGCGGCAGCTGTGAGACACACATGTAAACCTGGAGGCTCGTATAGTAGGTGATAAATAGTCCGCTATTTATGTCCCGCTTTACAGTTTGAGACTTAACACCTCTGTCAAAACGTCTTCATGTCAAAGTGCTCAGAGCGTCGGAGGTGCTGCTTCTGAATCCCTCAAAGTGTAGGAAAAAAACGGTGCAACTTTTAAACATATCCTTCTGAAAAAGCCTCTTTCTTTATGATTGTGTCTACAGACGAGGAGTAAATGTTGGGCGCTCGCCGAGTTCAACAGTCAAGAAGCGGTCTGACCTATTTTTCAGACTCAGGATTAAATGTCAAGTCCCTCGCCACGACAGCCAGCTTCTTTATTTAAGACCGCACATTGAGGAATTACAGCTGGAGGATCCAGTATCAATTTAAAAACGTTAAAAGCACATTGTGCGTTTGTCTTTAAAGTCTGAGTATGTTTGAGCCAAACGTTATGTATGGATGAAGTTTATTTGTTACAAATAGATTTTCAAAAATCTGCACTGTTGAACTTCTGTTTTATTTTCCGTTAATTGCAATTATGGTGATAAAGGATGCAGAATTAGTCATTTTAATGTGATCATTATTTTTATTTTTAACATTTATTTTCTATATTTGTATTCTTCCTTGCAGGGTCTTTGCTGCTCCTGTTTTTTTTTTTTTTCATGCTTCTACGCTATGTACCTTTGAATTACCCCCTGTTGGCAAATAAAGTTTTTTGAATTGAATTAAAACAGAATCATCCCGATGCCCTCCAGGTGTATTTCAGGACATCATTGGTCCAGTTTGATACGTTGGTAGCTACACTGGGAAAACACATTTCGAGGGAGGGACCTCCATTTTCTGCAAAGCTATTGATGCTGAGCAGCGGCTGGTGATATGTTTGAAGTCGACACACAAACACACTCTGAACAGTCGAATGACCTCTTAACAATTTGGACAGTTGTGAAAAAAAATGCAGTAAATTAAACCTTAATTATATCAGGCGAAGGATTCAGAGTCAGAGTGCAAACATGATTGACACGTCATGAGATCAAATTTCCTTTTTAAACTCGAGGCAATTCCTGACGGTGTGCAAGGCCTCATGTTAAACAGCTGTGGAGCGCCGATAGCCTTTAGCGGTTATACAGCATGTACAGAGGCTGTAGTCCTCGTCGCAGTGGCTGTGGGTTCAAATCTGACCTCTGCCCTTTGCTGCATGTCACCCCCCCCCCACTCTCTCCTACCAACATATCCTGACTCTCTTCAGCTGTCAAATCTAATGAAGGCAAAAAGGCCGCAAAAAACATCAACATAAGCTGCAGCTATAGACTCTAAAAAGTAGAAAACTTCACTGCAACTGAAGATGATTCAATCGTTTCTTTCCCTAAAGCAGCAGCACGAGGACTTTGCAGAGTTGTTGCATCAGAAGCTACAGTCATAAAATTCAGGATGGAGATTTTAAGAATGTCGCAGTCTAAACCCGTACAGTAGGAATGAAGAACATCATGTATTAAATATTAAGTTACTCCTGTACGTCAGCGTGCGGTGTGTATTTGTATCCGGCTGTTTATGTGGTTTCTGTGTCTAACTTTAGACGTAGTCGCTCTGTTGACCCACTGGCACAGTGACTGTGACTGTAACTGTAAAATGTTAGAAGCATTCAGGGGCTTTACAAACAGGGGAGCCAATTCAATAACAGGAAGTGAATCACGCTTTCCAGAGGCCGAAGAAACACAACAATAGAGTTAACCGACGGCATCACAAGATCTCCTTCATTTTCTCTCCAACGATCATACGCCTCCATCTTAATTCTGACCCCGAAGCAAAATCATTTATTTGTTCTTTTTGAAAAACTAATTAAGCATTATTTAAAACATATTAAACACTTTGGTACGCTCTTAAATTTGATGCTAAATTCTAAACAAAAGTGTGTTTTAAAAACGTATAATTCCAGATCCAAGTGTTAAAAAGACGACAGAAAACGGTTGAATTTAAACTGAAACTTGAAGACTTCCTTCAGTATGAATGAGGAGCTTCTTGTTCAGACATGACGAGGTGAAAATGTAAATTCACTTCTCCGTGACGTACCTGCTCAAACATGTTTAGTTCCTGAGAAAAGTGAGTTTTAAATTAACTGTCAATCTCACGAAGAATATTCTCTACCGACTGGATTAAAGGTAAAATATTCAGATTTGATTGAGTATCATAAAATCTGGTTTTTAAGAGTCAGAAGTCAGAAACTGGGGAGAGAGAGAGAGAGAGAGAGAGAGAGAGAGAGAGAGAGAGAGAGAGAGAGAGAGAGAGAGAGAGAGAGAGAGAGAGAGAGAGAGGAACGACATGCAGGAAAGGAGCCACAGAGATTTATTTTTGGGCGTTTTGGGCCTTTATTGTAGAGATAGGACAGTGGATAGAGTCAGAGATCAGGGAGAGGGAGAAAGTGGGGAATGACAGGAGGGAAAGGAGCCACAGGTCGGATTTGAACCTGGGCCGCCTGCTTGGAAGACTACTAACCACTGTGCCACCAGCGCCCCACACTGGATGCTTTTAAGAGGATGTTAAATGACTTGGAGGCGGACACATCTGGCTGTAGATGTTCTCCCACATGTGAAGGGGATGGCATGTGATGGCTGCTGCTGTTGTTTTGTGAAACTCTGTAAATTGTGCTGCTGCCCGTCTCAGCCAGGACACTCATGAAGGAGATATTTAATAAAGATTCAAACACATTTCCTCTGTAGGAACAAAATACAAAAGTCATTTTCTGCCCAGATGGCTTTGATTTTTATCAAAACTACAGCTCTCAGAAACCACAATATAGATTTAAAAAAATAGATCTATCTATTTTTTGTACATTTGTAATTCTATTTTTTTTATTTAAAATGTGTACTGTGTTCACTTTTTGTTTGTAATCTTTGCTGCTGCTAACACTGTAAATTTCCCCGTTGTGGGATAAATAAAGGATTATCTTATCTTTCTAATCCATGATGACTTTGTAGAAAAATAAAATCTTTTTGAATTTCTGACACTTTTCTCTGTGTTACTTTCTTACCTTGCTGCACTCGATCTGGTCCTCTTCCTTCCACAGGTCCTGTTCGTAGTAGTACAGCCCGTCGTTGAT